TGTTGTTTTGTGTGACACTCTGGCGGGCCCTACTGGTGGAGGAGAACCAGCCGGAGGTGTTGTGTAGTGTGACGGTGCCGTGGGACGGTAAACTTTTTTCCCCTGCGGAGAAACTTGAAATGATTCGCGCCGTTGCTGCCGAAACAGCAGCTGGGATCAACGAGCGGGTTTCTTTGCGGGACGATGCCGACGGCACGGAGATGGAAATAATGCACGCGCTGCTGCAGGGGCGTGCGAGCCCCATCCCTGATGCGGTTAGTGCGGCAAAGCAGTTGAAAGAGCACCTCGAAAAAAGCGCCAGTGCATTATTTACGCACACCTCCAGCGAAGATTACATATGCGAGGCAGAGGAGGAATGTCCGGTTGTTCCGCCGCAGGATCCAAGTCCACTGGCGTCAGCCGTACTTCGTCGGTACCGTACCCAACACAAAACGAGCAACAAGATGTATTTTATGTGGGCAATTGGAGGCATTCCTGCCCCGCATGGGGCTTCATTGACGGATATGCGGTGGGAAGGTGAGGAACGTGTCATCTGCATTATCACGGCAGACAAGAGTGAGTTTTATTTTACGGCAAGACCATCCATTAACGAGATGCACACTCTGTTTGTAGACTCTCTGCATGTGTACTCCTTCAAGATTTCTGTGACGGCTGTGAAGGAAAAGGCCGTGACCCCATCGGAAACCGACGGTATTATACAAAAGATTTGGAAGATTGCGTTGCGTGTGAAAGATCATCTTTATGTTCCTCACTCTGGCCGAAGGCAATTACTGCAACAGATGCTCCTGCAAGATGCTGCTGGCACGGATGCGGATGAGGTGGCTTTAGAGGTGGAGCCCGCTTCACTGACAGGCGGCAGGGAATCTTTTACGCACGGAATGTCGAGGGGGAAGGTGCGACATTACATACATGGCACCATTGACAGGTGCGTTGGTGTGGCAGAGGACGCTCTTTATCTTCATTGCCAGTGGCAACAAGGCACACGGGATGGGGATAGCTATGAGACGGGAAACGTGGATGAAAGCTTTACGACGCAGCTTGCCTTTGCTGGTACGGCCATCGTGGAGGATTTTATTCTTGTTCCAGTGCATACTTTTAACACTCCTTTTGAGTATCATCTTGACGACGTGGGGATGACACCGCTGGAGCTCATTGTGACTGTGTACAGTGAGACGGAGCGTTCCCAACAAGCACCCGTTGGCTACACAACAATGACGGTACCGTATATGCTGCCTGGTTGCCACTCATTGCGAGCCCCGCTTTGGCGACCACATCAAACTGGACGCGAGTTCCTTCGCTCCGCGCTGGTGGGCGGTGCCCCCTCGCTTGTTGACTCATCCGATGTAGCCGCACGCAGCAACACGGGTATGTCCCTCAGGCACGGACTAGTCACGGAGCCATCTGGCGAGGTGGAGGCGAGGGTGATAGTGCTGCACCACCACAGCATGCCCGAATGACGATAGGACGCAGTTTTTATATAGAAATTGCTGTGGCATGGTTGTTCTCTACACTTTCCATGCCTCACTGCACATGACAACTTTCTTGCTTATTTATTTATTTTTATTTGTCATTTCTCTCTCTTCGCACTGCTTGGCGGGGTCTTTGTGTTGTTGGCTTTTCCGCTTCTTTTTCTTTCTTTAAGAGACGGAAAAATAATATGTCTTATTGTCTCAGTGGATGTGTACGGCTGCTTCCTTTTTTTTTAGTTGTCCGGCCAATTTTTTTGCCCTCTTGTTTTGTTTTTATTTGCTGTTTCTTTCCATGTCTCTTGAAAGTCCCGCAGTCGCACGTGGGCAGGCGCGACCACACACACACACACACAACCACAAGAAAAAAAAAAGGAGGGAGAGATAGCGCAACGTTTCAATGGGTGTTGGCTCACACAAACGGTCGCAGGGCGGGGCGGCCTTTACGCAGACGTCTCATGCCCCGCCGCTGCCTGCGCTTCTTCGCCCGCAGTTTCAGGTATTCGGCGAGGACAATCTGAACGCCATCGACCGACGGCTGAGGCGAGGCGAGGCGGAGCGTGTGGAGGAGAAAAAAATACAGGAGCGATGCGCGAGGGTTCGCGAGCGGCGGAATGCAGAGTTGCAGCGAAATATCGAAATGATTCAAAAGCGATCTGCACGACACGCTTCAGCAGCGGGACTCGTTGAGGAGCGTCGTCTGCGGGCCGAGTTTCGCCAGCTGTGCCGTTGGTAGCGGGGACCAGCCGGGCTGACGAGTGGTGGACGGCTTTGTGTTCAACGGTTTCTGTTGGCATTGGAGTGGCCGCACTGCGGCGAGCTCATAGAAGTAGAAATGTGTCGTAGATGTTGGAGGTGAAACTCTCGGAGGTGTTTACATGACCTCTTTTACGAGCCACTTTCCATAACTCTTTTTTTTCTTTCTTTTTTTGTTCTTGTTGATATCTTTGTCGTTTTATTTATTTATTTGTTTTTGTTTACATGTCGCGTTTGTTTTTGACGATTTTTCTTTTTTTTAAAAAACTCGCTCAGTCACCCGCTTACGCCTTTTTTTTTTTTTTTCTTCTGTATTTTGTCTGCTTCTGTTGGAGGACTTGACGGCGGTGGCGGCGGCGACGGTGGTGTCTGCAGCCAACACAGGGAGCGAGTAGGGAGTGTGTGGGCCTGGCTGTCCACTCGGGGAAACAACAGAGGCGGAGGTGTCACGCATGTCTGAGCACAAGAACCCTGCCCGTGTCGATCAGTACGACTCGGGCACATACACGCGGAAGGGACAAACAACCCGTGTTGTGGTTCGTGAGAAGCCGTTTATTAAGTCACGGTCTCAGCGGTTTTTTGAATTTCTCCGCCCCTCCACCCGCACCGGCTTTAACGTGGTACAAGGGTTTGAGCTAGCGAAGGTGATGGTATGTATCGTGTTTCCTATTTTCATGTTACTTTACTGGAAACGCATGCAGAAGAGACTTCCCGACCAGTGGGAGAGTCAATTTGCGGGGTTGCAGCATCGGATACTTAAGGAGGATGTGCTGCAGGAGCAAGAGACGGATTACTTTACGATCATTGAGACATTTAAAGAGCGTCGCGAGAAGGCTTTGCAAAAAAAGCAGAAGGAAGCGAGGGAGGCGAACCAACAGTTTAGGCAATAGCCAACACAAAAGGAAGGCGGCGCAAAGGCCGCAAAACCGCAATTTGAAAAGGAAAAAAAAAAGAAAGAAAAAAGGAAAACCAGGAAAGGGATTGAGAAAAAGGAAGGACGTAAAGCGGATGACTCTGATGCCTTCCCCTAAAGGCCTTTTCTCTTTATGCTGCTGCTGGTTGCATTAGTGCATTTCATTGTTTTAGCCGCGTTATTGTTTTGATTTTCTTTGCCTCTAATTTATTACAGGGTCGCAATACCCCTCCCTCTCTCTCTCTCTCTCTCCACACACACACACTCTTTTACTTTCTTGTTCTATCTGTCCCTGTTTCTTTTCTTTTCTTTTTCTTTTTATTTAATTTTTTGTTGTCATTTGTGCAACTCCAGTTGTTTTTATTTTATTTTATTGCCTTTCACAGCGTAGATGGAGGACAACAACGGTCCCAAGCGGGCGCGCAGTGAGGCGATGGAGGATACTTCCAGCAGGTCGACGACACCCCTGCAAGTGGATCAGTCTACAACGCCCGAGGCGACCCCGGCACGTGACCCGTTGCTGGAGGAGCAGATGGACCAACTCGGTGTGGATGAGGACTTTAAGGCATCTTTGCGTTGCATGTCGCCGAATACGCGAAGGGATGTGATGAACGATATTATAAGGGGCCAGCAGCAGGAGCGGACCACGATGGCGACCCCGTTTGGATTGTTTTCTATCCTGGGTGAAACCTCCATTTTACCGCTTTTCAGTGGCGTAGATGTGCGTCTCTCCGTAGAGGAGGATTCGGAGGATGAGCAGAGGGGATCGGATGGCTCGAGGGCGCACTCCTCGTCGCGGCGAATGTCCCCAAGCAGTGGGGCCGATGATAGGTCTGAAAACTCGAGAATGGAGACACCGGCGTTGCGAGAACAGGTTTTGCGCTCTCAGATGCTTTACTTACTTCACATCATGCGCGGCTCTCACATCGCTAACACCATTTCTGAGGCCATTGCGCAGCGGTCGCTGGGGATCACGCAGGATATTGATGACATGTCGTATGAGCAGCTTTTGGAACTTCAGGAGCGGATTGGGTTTGTCAGCAAGGGTATTACCAGGGAGCAGATGCAGCAGTGCATGCAAGATGTGCCGTGGCCGAAGGAAGGCAGCTGTGTGGTGTGCCAGTCCGAATGGCAAGATGGCACAGAAGGCAACGAGCGGAGTGTAGAGCTGAAGGTGTGCCATCACATTTTCCACCAACGCTGCATTGAGCAGTGGCTGGGGTCCAACAAGACATGCCCGGTGTGCAAGAAGGACGTTGTGTGAGGCATGCACAGACACCACCACCCTCCCTGCCGTGACGCCCAAAAGGAATCAACGAAAGGAGTAATGGGAGGGAGGGAAGCACACAGAAGTCCGCACACACACACACACACACGCGGGTCCACATTGCGTAATGGTACCGGCGACCTGCCACCGCGAGCATCTCCCTCTCCGACAAGCAGTTTGAACAGGTCCGAAAGTGCAAGAAAGCGATAAGCATTAGAAAAAAAAAAAAAAAGATAAAAAGAAAAAAAAAGGAAAAAAAAGAAAGAAAAAGAGAAATGAATAGTAACAACAACAACAACAAAAAAGAACAAGAAGAAGGATGTGAGATAAAAAAAAAAAACACAAAAAGAGGGATGAGTGGAAGTAAGTAAATACATATACATGTATGTATGTTTGGCTTTTATGAATTAGCAATCCAAAACAACTGGTGACGGTGGCGAATGCACGTGGAGGCGCACTCCAGCAGGAGTATTGGGTGAGGCATGACGAAAGAAAACAACAACAACAACAACAAAAAGGAAGGGATTAGTGGATAAACGACGGCAACGAATCAACAACGAGAGCAGAAAATGAAAATCAATAAAAACAAAAACAGCAACCAAAAAAAAGAAAAAAAAAAAGAAAGGCGGTGGTGATGATAAGTTTCCGTGGAAACTCAGCACAAAATACTTTGCACGGATGTCATTAACAACAACAAAAGAAAACGAAATAAAAAAAAAAAAAATGGATTTTTGCCGTCGATGAGGACTGGACGACGCGGATGGGGAATCGATGCGAGGCAATTTTTTTTTTTCTTTTTTCTTCTTTTTGGTGAGTGGGCGGGAAGTAGTAAATGAAAGACGGGGAAAAAATGAGTCATGAGAAGAGGGCAGATGTACGGGAGGGGAAGAATGAGCCTGCGCATGTAATGTGCGTAATCCGTAGAGGGGCTGGGCGGCGCTTGTGTGTGTGTGTGTGTGACTGTTGGGGTGGTGGTGGTGGTGGACGGAAGGCAGGGGGATCTTTCACGTTATTATTATTATTTTGTTTCTTATCCCGTCTTCCCCCTACGCAGCCCCTTCACTTCCCCCGCCAACATTTTGCAGGGCAAAAAAGGGGTAGGATAAAAAGAGAAATGGAACTTAACTTCACTTCACCATGCCGTCTTTTTTTAATCCTTTTTTTAATTCTTGTCTTTTTCTTCTTTTTTGTCCATTGTTTTCTGTTGCCGCCATCCTTTTCTTTTTTTTCTTCTTTCCATGTATGCTTGTGAATATGCCTTTCTGTCAATGCCTGCTCGTTGCTCCTTCTTTTTGCCGCTTATGAGTGGTGCTGTCTGCCTGTGTGGGCGCAGAGGGGCGTGCCGCGAAGGAGGGCGGAGGAGGGGCTGGGGCCGGATGGCGGAGAAAACGACAGCAGGCACCGAGGAGCCACTCCTCTTCTCTCCCTGAGTAAACGAGGCGGCAATGCCGACAGACGGAACAGCGGGTGGGGAGAGTGGGGAAAAAGGATAAAGCGCGGATATGTTTTTATTCCATTCCCTTTTTTGACTGACTGCCGCACCGCAATGCGTTTTCTTTTTTTTTTTTCCCCCCTTTCCCCTTTTTTCTTCCTTTTTTTTTTGTGTTTTTAATGGCGATCCGTCACCTCACTCCCCCGACGGGGCGCGGCAGGCGTCACCATTGAAGGCGACGGAAAGGGGTTAGGGTGGGATGAGGGAGAGCAGAGCGACACAATCGGCAGAAAACACAAAAAATTTTTGTGTGTACTTTTCTTCTGACTGCTGATTTGCTGGCGGTCTTGTGCGGAATAAACGGCACCGAAAGAAGAAGAAGAAGAAGAAGAAGAAAAAAGCAACAGAATGAAAAAGGAAACAACGACAACAACAAAATCACGTTTTTTTTTATTTGTTTAGTTGCATTGTTTGCGGTTTGCCGTACACAATTATATTTGTGTTGTCTGCATACGGGCGCGTATTGTAGAGCCCACGGTCTCTTGTCACTTAATTGTTTTTTTTTTCTTTTTCTAGTGCGTGTGTGAGTGTGTGTATTTGCGTTTGTGTGCGTTTTTGTGGATGCGCTGAAAGCAAATAAACGAAATGAATGCAATTTAAAGTGTTGACGTTGTGAATGAGAAGAAGGAAGCATGTTGTTTGCGTGGAGTGCCATTGAACCCGCATGGGACATGTGGTGCCGGTGCATGCATGAAATATGGGCGGAATGACCTTTTTTTTGTTGCTTTTTTTTTTTTCTCTCTGTGTGTGTTGTTATGCACAGCAGTATTGGCAGGTAGCGATGTCATCTGGGCTTTTTGCCTTGTATGAGGATGACTTCAATGAGAGTTCACGGCAGGTGCGGGCAGCGGCGGCAGCCTTGCAGGAGTCGTTAAAACAGGATTCCAGCACGTATGAGCCTCCACCCACGACGGGACCTCAAAGCCGCGGACATCACTGCGAGGTGATGCAGCAGGGACTGGCGCACATGCGCGAACTTGTAACGAGCATGCTGTATGAGAGCAATGATGTTGAATCGGGTGAGTTACGCAACGAGGTAAGGCGACGCGTGGAGGATTACAAGCAGATGGTCACTGTTCTGGAGGGGGAATTGTTTAGACTGCGGCAGGACTCGAAGAACGCGGACAGGATGGATCTCATATCGGGTGGCAATGATACATTGGATGAAGAAAACCAGGAGGCACGTGCCTTTATGCTTGAGAACACACAAAGGTTACGTCAAGGCACCACAACATTGGAGAGAGCAGAGAGAGCCCTGCACGGTGCAAGTGATTTGGGCACCTCAACTCTTAATACGCTTCGCACACAAACGGAGACGGTGCGGCACTTTCACGCGACTGTTCATGATGTGGACTCACAGGTCATGGAATCACGCAGACTCGTTAACCAAATGCAGCGCACAGCGATGAAACACAAATTATGGCTTATAGGCATCATAGTTGGTTTGTTTGTTTGCATCATTTTAGGAATATATGTTCGGCGCTAGTCGATTGGAAGACTTTTATTTGTGCTTCTTTTTTTTTTTTTCCATTTATCATTTTTCTTGTGTGTGTGTGTGCGTGTGTTCTGTTTGTTTTTGTGCTGTGGTTCACGTCAATGTGTTGTCTTTGGCATCCCGCTTTTGCCGTCGTCCTTGTGGGAGGTTATGATTACTATTTTGCTTTTTTTTTTTTTTTCATTTGTGCCTGTTGCGCTTGGTGGAAAGGGGGTGGGAAGGGCGCGTCATGTCGACTCTGTTCCAGAGCTACGAGGAGGAGTACCGCGATGTCGTCAAAAGTGTCCGCGAGGGTCTCGACGGGCTGCGCGCGACGCTCAACCGCGAGGCGGATGGCTACAATGCCCCGCCGGCCACCGGCCCCGCAAGTCGTCTGCAGCGCGGCGCGCAGCTTGTGAAGCTGACGACACAATTGAAGGAGCTTCTGAACAACATGGAGTACGAGTGCAACGATGTTCCTGTCGTTCACCGGCCGGCACTGCGGGAGCGACTGGCGGAGTGTCGGAGGGGCGCACGGGAACTGGAGGAGGAAATCGCGAAGACGCGCGGAGAGTGTGCCACCGCCGACCGCCTGGACCTCATGGGCGCCCCGGAGAAAAAAGGGTCGGCTCCCGTAGATGCCAGGGGTTTGGGCCTCGACGATGAAACCGCAAGGCATCGCCTGCAGATGATGCATAATACGGAGAAGGTGAAGCAGGCCTCGGGTACTTTGAACCGGGCCGAGCGGCTGCTGAACGAGACGGAGGAGACAGGGGCGGCGGTCATGAAAAACTTGCGCACCCAGACAGAGACGATACAACGCATCAACGCCACAACGACGGGCGTCAATGAGGAAATATCTGAGGTGAGCAAGATACTCACAAAAATGCATCGAACGATGGTCAAACACAAAAGTATGCTGATTGGTATAATTTTGGTGCTTGTTGTTCTTATATTTGTGGCATTGTACGTTTCATTTTTGAAGCACAAGAAGGAAACGCCAGTGCAGCCGTCGCAGACACCAACGGATGCACCGGAGTTACCAAAATGGGGTCCGGATTCAGGTGGTGGCTTACCCGTTGATTGAATACACCCATCTGCCAATGGTGTATATATATATATATATATATTTAGCTTTGCGTGTTCATGCGTGTTTCGTATTTGCTTCTAAGATGGAAGTGGGATACAAATGAAAAAGAAATTAAAGAGTGTGTAGATGTGTCTGTGCGCATATGTGGGTATCTGCAATTCTGCTTGAGGCAAGCCAACCACCGAGAATCTTTTTTCTTTTTCTTTCCTTTTTTTTCGTTTCCCACTGAAATTAGTGTGCTTGTGATCGCTCATTAAGGGAAAAATTATAGGAATTATAAGGAGATTTGGACGCGTCATGTATGCGGAGTCCACCCTGCCTGCTCCGCGAGTGGCGTATGAAAATCTCCTGCAGGCCCTGATGTACGAACGGAACTCCATCAATGACGCCTACGACTCGCTCTTGGGGCTTGTGCGTCAAAACCTTTGCGAGGATGACACGGCGACCCCTGCCACGTGTGTGTTGCAGGGCCTGACTGGGATGCTGCGCTTTATCTTTGAACGGTTGTACCAACACACAAGCGAGACTGCCCTGACATTTGTGAAGGAGATCGGCTTGGGATCCGAGGAAGACGCGTGTCTGGAGGCGGTTGCAGCGCTGCATGACGCCATAAAGGCGAAGATGTTTGCCCCTAACGCGCGAATGAGCGACGCCAAAGAGCGGAATAAACACGCTGGGGAGGGCGGGGAGAAGTTGCGGGGCGCCCGTCAGAAGTGTTGTATCTTTGCGGTTTCTTCTCACTACGAATGGGGGGCGAAGCAGGAGATTCTCGAGGCTCTCACCCGCAAGCTCCATCACACAACCGTGGTGCTGCAGCGGTGTGAGGCAAGCAAGGAGCCGAGTATGGCGCTGCAGCTTGGATGCAATGTTCTTATCTCACCGTTCATGCCAACCGCACCTTGCGCCGTTGCTTATGCAACGAAGGAAAAGGTGCTGCAGTACGCTTGTTCCTGCATTGAAGACGAGATTGACGACGAACTGGATGCGTTGCTTCATGCACTCGACTACACCGCACGCCCCAGTACTCCACTGACCGAAGCGGCAACGGTGAAAAGCCCAACGAATGTGGCACCTGTCGTCTCCCGCAATGTTTTACAAGGTGGCATAGCTGCTTCTCCACAGAATGCCACGGGTGCTTTGGGCGTCCATGAATCGATCAA